CCTGTGATTTACGCTTCCTGCACACGTGGCTGGCTGTGCAAAGCAAAGGCTTCTCACCGAGTCTTAAGATGTCATCATGGTTTCGTCTTTACAACCCGGGTTCTTCATTCCTACAGCCACACTCAGAGGCCCTTCGCAGGCTCTGCCTCTACCCCTTTGCGCCCTCGGTAGAGGATGACCCGTCCCTTCGGTGACGCCTCCTCCAAGAAGCCCCTTCCTCCCTAGCAAGCTCGCTCGCTCCTCTGACTACTGGGGATGCCTCTGACCTACGTTCCGGCTGTGCCTTGCGCCTTTTCTGTCGCCCCTCTCCTGCAGTCTGGACCCTCCGGAGATGGAGCGCTGGGTGAGCGTCTGACCCGGTCTGGGTCAGCGCGCCCAGCAGCAGGTGCGATAGGAACAAACGTCCGCCTCCAAGTGGGTGCGCGAGCCCTGCCCGTCGCCCGGGACCCCTGGACGCAGGACTGCAGAGCCGCCCGCGCTGGCGGCGCGCTTTTCGCGCCTCTCGGCCAGGGGCCGGCCGCGGCTAGGTCACCGCGCTGCCGGGGGAGCCTGGACACCCGGCCGGCCGCTACCCACCTCTGCCTGGTTCCGCGTGCGGGGCGGGAGGCAGCGGGGGCCGGGCAGCCCCGCCAGCTGCTCCTGGGCGACGCTCTGCGGATGCGTCCCCGCCGGGGTCCCGGGTCCCCCGAGGACCCTCCCGCTCGCGACGGGTCTGGCCGATGGAGCCGATCTGCGTCTTGCGGGGGGCGCGCACGGGCGGGGCCGGGGCGGGGCGCGCGAGGGGGCGGGCCGCGGCGGTGACGCGCGCGCCGGGGGCCCAATGGGCCGCGGGGGGCGTTCCCCCCATTCAGGACTCCGCGCCTGCCTCGGAAGGTATGTTGGAACAGCTGCTTTCAATTTGGCTCCGGGGTCTCGGGGCGCTCGGGGGGCTCGTGCGCTCCGGCCGGCCCGCCGCGGTGCGGGCGCCGCAGGCCCCGGGCCGGAGCCGGGCGGCCGCGGGAGGCGCGAGCAGGCCGGGAAGGGGCGCCCTGGGCGCCGCCCGCCCGCCCGCCCGCCGTGTGTGTCCCCCAGCCCGCCGGACCGCCGGGCAGGGGCCGGCCCGGCCGGGGGCTCCCGCGCGCGGGTCGTGCCGCCTAGTCTCGTTCGCCGAGTGGCCGGCTCCGGTAGGTGGCGGCGGCGGCGGGCCGGGGACAGGGCGGGCAGGAGGCGGCCGCTCCTCCCTCCCGCCCCTGGACGCCCCCGAGAGAGGAAGATAGTGGAGGGGAGAGGGGCGCGGGGGCGGGGCGGGGGCCGGACTGCGGCGCGCGGGCCCGGCGGGGGGCGGCGGGACCGGCGAGCCGGAGTTGGCGAGGGCGCCGGGCCGGGCTCTGCCCGCCGGCCGCGCGGGTTTTGTCCCTCGCAAACTTGGCGGAGCGGGCGGGGGGCGCGCTGGGCCGCGGTCGTTACGGACTCGGGGGCGGGGGCGACGCGGGACTCGCGGGAGGGCCGGCGGGGGGCGGGGAGCCCCCGGGAAGCAGCCCCGCCGCTCGGCCAGCCCGCGCCTCTGCAGCCCCGGCGCCCGAACCCGCCAGGCCGCGATCCCGCGCGCAACTCGGCGCGGAACTCGCAGCCCGGCCCCGCGGCGCCAGCTGATCCCCTGGCCGACGCGGAGCTGCCCCTTCCCCGCCCACCCCGAGGCGGCGGCGGCGGCGGCGGCGGCTCTTCCCCCTCCCGCGGCCGGGCCGCTCTGCCGCGGACGGGGCGGGCGCGGGGCGGGCGCGGGCGCGGGGGCGGGCGCGCTCGGCGACCGGCGCGCCCGCCAGGAGGTGGCCCGAGAGGGGCAGTGAAGGTCGGAAACTGGGAAAACAGTCTCCACGCTCGGCGTCGGGAAAAGGAAATGCATCAGCGGGCGGGGAGGGGCGCGAGGGGCGCGACTGTCAGCCGGGATGGCGGCCGCGGGCCGGGAGGCGGGGCGGCGGCGCGCCTGGCCTGGCCTGGCCTGGCCTGGCCGGCAGCGGGCGAGGGGCGCGGGCGCGCGGGCTGCAGCGGCCCGGGCCGCCCTGGCCTCCACCCCGCGGCCCGGCCTGTTTACTATCGATTCCGGCGCCGGCTTGTGCAACCGGCCGGGAGGGGAGCCGGGGGGCGGGGCCTCCGCGGCTCCTCCACCCACCGCGGGCTCCCGCGCAGGGCCCGCCTCCTCTTGTCTTCCACTGGCTGGGCGCGACACCCTCTCCCTCCTCGGCTGCTGATTGGCCGGCGTCCTCCCGGGCGCCGCCTATCCCGGGCTCGGCTGGAGTTTAAGTTGCCGGGATTTTTTTTCCGTGAAGGGCGGAGGGAGGATGCCTGCGGCTGACGCGCGGCGCGCCGTCACGCCCCTGCCCCGGATTGGCGGGCCCGGAGCCCCGCCCCCTCCGGGAGCGCGCCGCGGAAGGGAAGTCCCCCCCGCCGCCCCGCCCCTTCCCGTACCCGGGGTGCCCGCTCCGCACATGTGCGGGGCCCGCCCCGCTCCTCGGGACCGTCCTCCCGCCCGGAAGTCCTCGGCTGGAGCCCTGGGCAGGGGCGGGGTGCAGAGGGCGGAGAGCGCGACCGAGGCCCGCCCCGGAGCGGGGCTGGTGGCCCGTGAGCAGCCTGGGAGTGGCCGCAGCGAGGCGTGGAACGAACTTGGCTTCGAAGGCTCTCGCAGGAGTTGCAAGGGGAGGGGGGTGGGGTGGGGTGTTTTATCTCGGGCCAGGTAGAACATTCTGCGGCGCTCTGGCCTGGCTATTCACTCGCCGCGCGACCTAGCTTGATCTCGAGGTCGCTAGGGACGCCGGGGGTGGTTTAGCACAAGGCAGTGGACGCTCTTAGTTGGCTCGACCCCAGACTGAGCAACACGGGATTGACATTGGTGAATTAGGCAAAATCTAGAGCAGCTCGTTCTGTTGACAGAGAAGCGGGTGGGCTGGCGGGGGGGGGGGTGGGTGGGGGGACACCTAGGGGGAGCCCGATCGTGGCGTGGCACCGAGTCCAGGGAACAGCAGAAGGCCAGAGTTAAGGGTGGCCGGCCTTCTGTCAGTTCTGCAGAAATGCTGTTTTATGAGCTCCTCCGAACTTGGCCCGAAGTCGCTTTTGACCGTGTGATTTGATTTTCGTGAGCTCGCGGCGGGGGCATGAGGCTGCGCCCACCTGCCTGCTACCCGGGGGTGGGGGGGGTTCCTAAATCGCTGCCTTGCTCTTGCTGCCGGAAGCCCTCGTTGGCATCAGACCCACCTGTTGCCAGCACGCCCTGCTAGCGTCTGCCGCGGGTCGTGGGGGAAGGCGCACACCTAGGTCTGGGCTTCCTCGGGTCCGCCACCTGGCTACTGCCTGGGCTCACTACCGGACTAGGTGGGTTTTTTTTTTTTTTTTTGGCTGCTGAGAGCGGGAAAACTCTAGTCCCGCCCCCTCCTCCCCTTGCGCTCCGCGAGCGCCCCCCAAAGCGAGGCCGGCGTCAGTTCTCCGCCCTGCTAGTCGGTTTTTGCAAGCACGATGTGTATTACACGCGCTATTACGCATGCCGAGAGCGCCTGGGCTTAGCCATCAACACTCTTGTGGTTTCGGAGGGAGAGGACCCTGGTTTTCTTCTTTTTCATTGTCTGGGCAGCCGCTTGGAGTTCTTAGCTCTTCACCGGGGTGTAGAACGAACAGTCACTTAAAGCCACGGCCTGTCCCGGTCTCTTTCTTGACCTTTCTTCGGGTCTGCGGGTGCTGCAGCTGGGCCCCGGCGATCGCGAGCACCTTAGGGCTCCCTCCCCGCCTTCCGGTGTCTCGTCCGGGCGGCGGCGGTTAAGGCCCAGCCTTCGCTCGTCACCTCCGCCCTCTTGGGACTGCATCTTTAGGTCCAGCTGGGGAGCGTGTTAGCTGTCTGGCCACCCCAACCTCGGTCCGGCTCACCCGAGGATGTCGGCCTCGGTCTCCAGCCCTCCGTGAAATACTCACTGGCGGGAGCTGTCTGCTCCTCCGGATGTTTGTTTTTACACGGAGGCAGCGCGCGGGAGTGTAAGCTGGATGAGGAGGAGGTTCTGTAACCTTTTTTTTTTTGCACCGGCTCCTCTAAGGTGGTGATGCTGCTGCATCGTCCCTTCCAGTCCCGGGGCATCGTGTCGCCGCTCCGCGCCACCTCCAGCGTCGGGCCCTGGAACTCGGCGCTTAGTCTCTAGTGTAAACATTCCACAAAAGGACTGCGAGGGTCCAGCCTCCTCGCGCGGGGCGGAGCCAGCTCCTTCCGAGACGGGCGTCCCGGCCAATGGGCGGCCAGCCGGCGTCGAGCGCTCCAATCCCGTGGCCGGGGGGCGGGGTCTGTCCCGGCAGTGCGGTAGGAGGGGCCTGCTGCACTTACGGACATTTTACCCCACTCTCTCGCTTACCTTCCTGGGGCACGGAGAGAGCCGGAGTCCCTTCCAGTGCAGTGACCGGCGAGGGCGGGAACCGACTTGTTGGGCCTGTAGCTGAGCCCGAATGGGGCGGGATGGGGAGAGTCCTCCAATGAGCCGCGAAGAGCTCCCCCTCCTCCTCCAATAGTGGAGCGGCTTGGGGGTGGGATCCCGCCGTCGGTCTCCAATAGGCGGGGTTGAGTTGGGGACGCTCCCCGCCAATAGGGGCGTGGAGAAGGTGAGCGGCTCCCCCGCCCCTCCAGCCGAGGGGGAAGGGGCGGGCTGTCGGCCGCCTGGGGCCGGCGATTGGCCGGGCCGCAGACGGGCGGGCGGCGCAGCCAGTGGCGCAGCGGAGTGGAGTCTTCCCTCTGCGGGGCGGGCCGAGGGAGTGGGCGGGATTTCCCGGGTAACAGAGAAGCGGCCGCGGCGGTAGAGGCGGCGGGGACGGTTTCTCCATCTTCCCCCTCCCCTTCCCCCTCGGAGTTTCCCTCCCTCCCACCCTCCCTCCTTCCCGGTCGGGGCCCCGGGGCCTGTGGCCGCCTCGTGAGCGCAGAGGCGGCTGCCAGTCCGCCTCGGCGGGCCTGCGCCCCGTGCCGCTCCCGGGGCCTCCGCGCCGAGCCCCGGGCTCAGGCCGAGGGGGACGCGCCGCGAGGAGCGGCCGAGGCGGCTTCGCGGTGAGCGCACGCCGGGCCGCGGCCGGGGCGGGGAGCCGGGCGGCGGCAGCGCGGAGCCGAGGGTGTGTATTTGGGGGGCTGACCTCCGTGGCTTCCCGTAGCGCCGGCGGGCGGGAGGCGTGTGGCGGCGCGCGGGGGGCGGGGGGCGGAGCGGCGCCCCGCGGGCGGGGGAGCGCGCGTAGTCCCGGTGCGCGCGGAGGGGGCGGGCTCGCGCCGCCGCTCAGGGGCGGGGCCGGCGCGCGCGTGCGGCGGCGGGGAGGGGCGGGGCCTCGGCGCCCGGCCTGCGGGGGCGTGGGGGCCGGCGGGGGGCCTCCCGCGTGCGGCGGCGGGGCGCGGCGGGGAGTGGGCGTGGGGGTCGGCCTCGGGCCGCCTTCCGGGGCTCCGGTTGGCCGGAGGGGCCGCCCGGCGCGGCCATGCCCCTCCCCCTGCCCGCCCCCTCCCCGGTTTCCGCCTCCTGGGCGAGCGAGGCGGGGCCGGGGAACCCGCTGTCCGGCCGGGCCGGCGTCCGGGCGCCCGCGGGGCCCCGCCCAAGGTCTCGGTGGGGTGGGAGGGGCCGCTGGCGCGCGGCCGGGGGTGTCGGGGCTCCTCGGAGCGGCGCGCCGCGCCCCGTGCAGCCGTGCAACCGTGCAACCGTGCAGCCGTGCAGCGCGCCCCTCGTGCCCGGGTCCTGGGGGCGAGGTGCCCAAGGTCCCTGCGGCGGAGTCCGCGCGCGAGCGCCGCGCCACGGCGGGGGAGGGGCGGGGGACCACCTCTGCGGAGTTCCCTCGGGGCTCCTGCCCTGGGCGGGGCCTCCTCCGGGCCAGCGGGGCGGGGGTCCTGGGCCGGGGCCGCCGCTGCCCGAGCCTCGGACTTCAAACCGGGCGGCCAGGAGCGCGCTGTCGGAGCGCTTGCTCTGCGCAAGGCTCGGGTCTGCGGGGAGAAGGGAGGCTCACGTGGTCCCCTTCGGAAAAGGATGCCTTTCAAGGATCCTGGATAAAGGACTCCAGTTGATTCGTTCTGGGATACTTGTCCGGGAGGTTCTGCTCTCCGTGTCGGCTTCATTTCACGCACACACAAAAACAGACCGCAGCGTAGGTCACTGCAAGTGCTCTGGAGCAGCCTTCTGGGTACCTGCAATTCTTGTACAACGTCTCGGCCACTTTCTATTTATACTCTATGAAATAGAGTGCTCTTGTCCTGTCCGTTGTAAAGAGTAACATGAGGTTGAGGACTTGTGCAATTTTGTGTTTGTGATTTATGTGCCCTCACCTTCCAGTCTGTTGTGCGAGTTACTGTAGGAAATTTAATGAACCATTTTAATTGAGGTTTTTGCTTGGACTTGATGACACTCTCTTCTGTCTCTCTCTCTCTCACTTTGGACCACATCCAGCTGTGCTGAGGGATAACTCCTGGTAGGCTCCAGGGATCATGGAGGGGTCCCCAGGATTGCATCTGGTGGCTGCGTGCCAGGCAAGCGCCTTAAGTCTCACCCTGGTCCCTCTCTCCTGTTAATAGAAATCACCTACGTGCTCCTGCTATTTTTCATGAGAAAAATAAACATGGGAGGAATGTATGTATACGCTTACACCTGAGCAAACTCTCAGGCCACCTGAACCGAAGGTGATTTCTAGATCTGTGCTTTGCCCGGTTGGGGCCCTGCTAGTGTGAAGAAAGCCCCAGCTTCTCAAGCCCAGGTAGCAGTAGCAACAGTAGCTTTTGATTCACGGTGGCTGTAATAGAATTGGTGTGAAGACTGAAGGACTAGGTGTTCTTCCCGGTACCCCAAACTGAGAAAGGAGAGAATTCGACTGAGGAAAGTTCCTAGCTGCGGCTGTTCCTCAGTGCTGGGTGCTTGGGAACGCCGAAGACCTGTTCCACACTTGAGGAGTGTGGTCTGCAGGTGGGCCAGTGGTGGATAGACTTTTAGGGATTCAAGGAAGAATCTAGTTCTGCCACATTAGTACTTTCCATAAATGTTTACCTACTCACATAACAGCATTGTATACCAGGGGTCCTTTTGGGGGGAGGTGGTTTTCTTTTGGGTGGGGGGGGGCATACCCGCCAGTGCTCAGGACTTACTGCTGGCTCTGTACTGAGGGGTAACTGCTGGCAGCGTTCAGGGCAATCATGGGGCATGCCAGGGATCAAGCCTAGGTCAGCCGCATGCAAGACTAGGGCCTAAACCCCTGTGTGATCACTCCAGCCCCTTTATCCTTTTAGAAGGTAGATGTATAGTAGTTGGATTAATATTCCTGGCAAAGCTTAGCCTTTTTACATCTTGTGTGAAAACAGACAAGATAACTGTAGAGCGGTGCAGGCAGATGTTAATCCAGCAGAGTGTTTAAAAGACTTGGTCACTCTTAGGTACTTCTAAGAGTTTGTTAAGACATTCTGTAGATTATTTTTTCTTTTCTTTGTGCCATACCTAGTGGTGCCCAGGAGTCGCTCCTGGTGGTGCTAGGGATGTAAGCCTCACCACCTGCTTGCGAAGGGTGTCAGTCCATTGAGCTCTCTCCAGCCCCCTGTAGTTCCTTGGGAAAATGGTAGCATATGCTTCTTCAAACTACACTCCTCCTTGAATAGTAGTAGTGATGAGAACTTATTCATTGAGTTTCAATTATGTTAGTAGAATCCTTCAGTATTTCAGTATTTGTCCTTGCATCTGGCTTTTCCTTTTTTTGTTGCAATTTTGGGGCCACACCTGGCAGTGCTCAGAGCCTATCCCTGGCCCTGAGATCACGGATCACTTCAGGTGCGGTGCTGGGGCTTGAACCCTGTCAGCAATGTGCAAGGCAAGTGCCTTACCAGCTGTACTATTTCTCTGGCCATATTATGAATAATGTTAGTTATTATGAACATGAGTTAACAAATGTCTCCCCAGTTACCTGCTTACATTTTTTGGAGTGTACATGCAGAAATGGAATTGCCGTATCATAGGGTAATTCTGTGTTTAATATTTTTAGGAACCGGCAGTGTGCTTTTGAAAGCAGATGAGCAATAGTTCGGTATGCAGATTCTACAGGTGCATGGAGTCAATGTACATTTATTGACCGTCTTCCTAAATAGCTCTGTGCTCAGACAGGAAATGACTTTGTCCCTAAGTTTCACATTCTTAGAAGAAAAGATAGTACATACATGATCATTTTACAACGTGTCCTTTTAGATTGAGTGCCATAGAGACAAGTACGAAGGGCTGTAAGACTTTCAGAAGATGCCAAGAGATGACCAAGTAGCCAAAGCCTCTGCCTTGCGAGTGTGAGGCCAAGAGTTTGGTCCCTGGTGCTGTGCGTGCTCCCAGCCCTTGGCAACTCTGTCAGTGATCCCTGGCTCAGGAACCACAACTGAAGGGCGCAGCCCCAGCGTCCCCACTGAGCACCTCAACTGAAATGATATTTGAACGCTGAAGCTATTAAGTGTAACACCTGGTGAGCACTGCAAGAAGAATGTGCCCTTACTGTTTCACTAGACCCATGATTCTTTCTTTCAACGCGTTTTGTTGAGGTGACACACCCAGCTGTGCGCAGGGCTTAACCCTGGCTCACTGCTCAGCTGTCACTCCTAGTGTTGGTCACGGTATCATTTGTGGTGCGGGGGATTGAAACCTGGTTAGCTGTGTGCGAGGCAAGAGTGTCCTGCTGTTCTGTCTTTCTGGTCCCTTCCCTGATTATTTCTTACGCCTTGTGAAATGTTTAAGAATAACAGAAAAGGGCCAGAGAGATAACTCAAGGGGCTGAGTGTTTGCTTTACATACCGGAGGTTCTGGGTTTGTTAATCAGCAGCATTGCATGGTCCCCTAGTACCTCTGGATGTGACCTAAGCACAAGCAAAAGGCTGCAGTGAAGAAACTGGGCATAATTTTTTCTTAAAACAGCAAGATTTTCCTTTACTTTTTCTGCTTCTTGTTATCATTCTGTCGCATTCAAGATCACTAATAAAAATCCACTGATTCTAATGTTCTTCTTCTATGTCTCCCTGTTTCTGCTACTTTAATAAGTGCATGGAAGTTGCAGTTGACTTCAAAGTTAGGCATGAGTTTGGTGGCAGTTTCTGTCTTCTGCCTGTGCCTTTTTTTTTTTTTTGCTTTCTTGCTGTCTTTCTGTCTTTAATGCCTGTACATCTGTACATTCTTATATTTAACATTGCTTGCTAACTAGCAAGTTCTTAAAGGACATGGACGTCAGATCTTTATCTGCAAGAAATTTTGCTTTTTAATTCCACACCTAATTTAGGGGCACAAACTAATCTAGGCCTTTTGACTTGATACAGGAATATGAGTGTGCTTGATTATGAAACGCTACCTTGTGCTCTGTATTATCGTTCTAAAACACAAATAGTACTCAAGAAATTTCTGTCTCTTAGCTGGGGATCTCTACCCACCTCTTTCAGTCAATGATACTTAATATTTCCTTTCAGGTCTCTAGTAGCGCCCTCAGTTTCTCTCCACGTATGGCTTCTCTGGTCTGTAGTGTAACAAGGAAGATCTGGCCACTTCATACCACCCCCCACCCCACCTGTAGATGTCAGTTCCACTCTCTTAGTTTGGCTAATTTCATTTTGTTGCTTCAATGAACCCATTTATTATGGTCAGTGTTTCGAAAAGGTGGCTTCTGCTGTCTTTGAATTCTTTCAGTCTTCTGATGTCAGGCTTTGTAGACCCAACAGAAGTATCGGAGGTCCCAGAACTACCGACTGCAGTTCTCATTCTCATGTGGAACCCAGAGTGCCAGACCTCCATCCCTTGCTTCGTCGTTTTGGTTTTGTCGGTGTGTGTCAGTGTGGCAGTAGCAGTGGTGCTTGGGGGAGTGGTGTGCTGAAGATTGAGTTTGGGACTGCCATAGGAAAGCCTGTGCTCTAGCCCTATGGGCCATCGCCCTGGTCCCGAGCCAGTCGTTTCTTAACAGCAATCCAAGCTGTTTATTTGTTTAGATGGAGTGGTGGGCTACACTCCACTGTGCTCAAGGTTTACTCCTGGCAGGGCTCAGGGATCCAGCTCAAGTTGGCAAGTACCTTACTCTCAGGCC